CAATAACACCCAAACACCCCGTCAGGCAGTCCTGGTTGGCGGTCATTCCATATTCACCAATTGCTCGTTATTGAGCAATATCCTTTCATCTTCACCCGCCCGTGCTCGACAAGCCCAACATTGATTGACTTTCATCATCAACAACAACGATGACGAGTGCTTCGAGCGTGTCGCAGAGCTCCAGCTCTGTCGGGCGCTTCTCGGTTCGCTCCCGCCCCAAGGTCAACATCGACCTGGATGGTCAACACGATGGCCTGGTCAATGTGTACACCACCGGAGACACCATCAAGGGCACAGTGACAGTTACCGTGGACCATGACACTCGTTTCGATGAGTTGGAGATTACATTTGAAGGTACAATGAACACTACATAAGGAGACCATAATTGGTTTAGTTACTGATTGTTCCATAGGCACCTCGCGAACCTCAGTAGAGCGACAATCGATGCCCGGCCGAACAGGCGCTTACCAGACCTTCCTACGACTTCGGCAGCCCATAGAGGATGCAGCATATCCCACTCCACGCATCCTCGAGGCCGGACGCACCTATGACTTTCCGTTTGTATTCGTGGTGCCGCAACGCCTACTGCCTCATGTCTGCAGTCACCCGAAAACCAATATCCACGTCGAGCAATCGCACACCATGCTTCCGCCCACCTTTGGGGACCCCATGCTGGCCAGTGACGGCAAATCGCTTCTCGACGACCTGACTCCTGATATGTGCCGGATCTCATATATCGTTCGTGCAACTCTGCAGAGAAACCCCCTCAGTCAGAACGGTTCGATTGATACCCTCGCTTCGATTGGGAAGAAAGTCCGGGTTGTGCCTATGGTGGATGAAGAGCCTCCCCTCAACATTACGGATGATGAGACCCTGTACTGCGTGCGCAAGGAAAAAGACGTCAAGCGTGGTTTTATGAGGGGAAAGCAGGGGCGCATCGTTGTCGCTGCATCGCAACCGAAACCTATCCAGCTGAATCCTACTAGCAACGACGACACAAGCATCGTTAGCACTGTGGCAACCGTGCATCTTCGGTTTGACCCACTTGGAAATGAAGAACCCCCGCGTCTGGGTACAGTGTGGAGTCGACTGCGAGCGACGACCTTCTATAGCGCGGAGCCGTGGGGCGATTACCCTTCGACTTCGTCCATCCGAACGTGGGCGCAGGTTGGCCGAGGAATGTTCACAGAAGCTGTGCCACTATCGACCATGTGTGTAGCCTCGGCGCAGTGGACCAAGCACACGAGTGCAGACGCCCCCCGCCGCGACTCCATGCACTCGACGTCCTCGACGGAGTCTCTGCCGGGGCCGTCTGCTTCATTCTCCGGAAACATCTTCTACACAGCTTCAGTGGTCGTACCAATCACGTTACCCAAATCGAAGACGTTTGTGCCCACATTCCACTCCTGCCTCGTCGCCCGCATCTACAGCCTTGAGCTCAGTCTCTCTTACCACACCCCCAACGCGAACATCTTGACGCCGACGACATCCCTGAAGATCCCCATCCAGCTGACATGTCAGCCGCAAGTTGACGCTCGACCGAAAAACACCGTGGTCGAGATCACGCAGGAGGAGGTCAATGCCGAGTTCTTCAGTCCTCGCAGTATCGCGCCCCGTTGGATCTCGGAGCCTGAAGTTACACCTCCCGAGTACACGGCCGTGCGCACCGCCCATCTACTTCCAGACCGTTCAAGGATCCTTCCCCCCTCGGCCACAGCAAACCCAGGGCGTATGAGAACGGCCTGCTAATATGCAAATTCATTGATACAATCTCATCTGCAAGGTGCATTGGAAATACTGGCTACGATGAAGGGCGTTATGGTTGATTTTCTTTTTTCTTTTATTTTTTTTGTTGCAATATACCCAATTGCCTGGTTTAGCTTTTGCTATCTACGACTGGAAAAAAGTTTGACTTGGGATTATCTGACTCGACTAGGTAATGCTGAATAGCGTTAATTAATATCATGACTACTAGATAGAGCATTAGACTTTAATGGACTTCTTATGACCTGTTTGGACTTGACAACATCTATTGTAGTTACTCTCTTAGTGCCCGAGTAGAGCGGTGAATGTGCGTTGACGGCAAGGAGCACATGCCAGCGACAGCCGAGTCGGGACTCGGGGCTACTTGCCTGTTCCGGCCTCAATCTGAGGCTATTCCCATCAATATCCCCGTCAGGGCGAAGGAGGTCGTACAAGCCCCTCCACCCATCAGCGGTGACTCGGATGGCTTGCAGCGCATGTTACATTCACGCATCCGTGGGAAACCTTCTTCGCTTGTGCCTGATATTTGCTTCTCTCGCGGCCGTTGCATCATGGGGCTTGTCTCCCAATTGAATTGGTCTGATTGTGAACATCTACTTTGATTTACTCTGTTAGGGATCAAGGCACACGTGAGACCAAGTCAGCCCTGTGAGACAGTCTGATCACTTCATTGATTGTTACCTCGTCCGTTGTCGGTTGTGATCAAGGGCGGTGGTCTCGACCCATCATGGGGCCCAAAGGATGGATTGACTCTGTGACAGATGCTACTCTGGGTGGGTAGGATGATGCATGGCCGAGAGATAACAAACGGGGAGAGGTGTAACAGGTGGCATGCACGTTTGATTCCACTGCTGTGCTGGGTTGACACTTTCGTTTCGTTCCCTCGAGGAGAGAGAGATATTCGGGACGAAGATGGGGTTGACTCAAAGCTGGTGATGACTATATAATGCTGTCAGAGGCCTCACCAACCCTCTCTGCGTCATCTCTGTGACTCTTTCTTGTCCCCTCCTCTTCTTCTCCCTCCCGCTTTGTGTCGTTCTCTCTCTCTCTCTCTCTCTCATATCACAACTTCCTCTCTCCTTGAATTCGCCTACCAGCTTCGATCTTCGTGTCCCTCCTTTCTCGATCAACCCTATTCTTTGTCTTCTTACTCAACTTGTTGAGACCACTCTTTCTCTCACAATGAGAACCATCCTTCCTTTCCTATGTGCCCTGGGTGGACTGGTGATCCACGGCGCTGCGCTTCCATCTGGAGTGGCCCCGGGTCTCTCGCAGGGTCATCACGGCCGTGTGAAAAGTTCGCCCAAGCCTGTCAACTGCTCCCAGCCCCCGAGCTATAAGTCAGTTGCATACTTTGTGAACTGGGTGAGACTCCCCAATCTATAAAACCACCAATTTGAACACTGGGTCACATCATGGATCACTAACACCCTCTTTTGGGGAAACAGGCAATCTACGCCAGAAACCACAATCCGCAGGACATTGCAGCCGAGAATCTCACCCACGTTCTCTACGCCTTTGCCAACATCCGCGCGGACGGCGAGGTTTACCTTACTGATCCCTGGTCCGATGTGCAGAAGCACTACCCGGGGGACTCGTGGAACGATGTCGGCAACAATGCCTATGGGTGTACCAAGCAGCTCTTCCTCTTGAAGAAGAAGAACCGCCGCATGAAGGTCATGCTGTCGATTGGCGGGTGGACCTACTCGAGTAACTTTGCCACGCCGGCGAGCACTGAGCAGGGACGCAAGAGGTTTGCGTCGACTGCGGTCAAGTTAATGGGCGATGTGGGATTTGATGGATTGGATATTGATTGGGAGGTAAGTGTGTCATTGCCGTCGTCATCATGTCTCTCTGCATGCAGGATTTCCAGAAGATGAAACACCCGACACTAATCTCCATACGGCAGTATCCTGCAAATGATGCCCAGGCGAACGATATGGTTTTGCTTCTGCGTGAGCTGCGAATGGTATGTGTTTGATATTGAGTTTACTGGTCCATTTGTCTTATGGCTGACCATTTCTTGCTGCAAGGAACTTGACAAGTACGGACGGGAACATGGCAAGGGCAAACACTTCCTGCTGAGCGTTGCCTCTCCGGCTGGTATGATCTCTTTTTCTCTTTCCGCTTACCCTCCGTCCAGCAAGCACTCCCCAAGCTGACCCACCCCCATCACAGGCCCCACAAACTACAACGTCCTCCACCTCGCCAGCATGGACGCCCAGCTCGACTTCTGGAACCTGATGGCCTACGACTACGCCGGCAGCTGGGGCCCCGTCGCCGGCCACGCGTCCAGCCTCTACCCCGCGGCCAACAACCCGGCCTCCACCCCCTTCAACACGGACCAAGCGATCAACGCGTACACGGCTGCGGGCGTCCCCCCGCACAAGGTCAACCTGGGGATGCCCATCTACGGCCGATCCTTCGCCAACACCGACGGACCCGGCAAGCCCTTCAACGGCGTCGGGGGCGGAAGCTACGAGAACGGCATCTGGGACTACAAGGCCCTCCCGCAGCCCGGGGCCAGCGTGACCGAGCTCAACGACATCGGTGCCAGCTTCTCGTACGATGCCGCCCGCAAGACGATGGTCAGCTACGATACGCCCAATATCGTCAAGCTGAAGGCCGAGTACATCAAGAACAGGTGTCTGGGCGGGGGCATGTTCTGGGAGACTTCGGGGGATCGGAAGGGTCAGGATAGTTTGATTGTGACGGTGAGTTTTGCCTTCCTTTTTTTTGCGTTTCTACCTGGCTTGGGTAAATATGGTTTTACTGGATGTATAGAAGCTGACGCGCTTGGCATACAGCTGGTCGATAATCTTGGGGGTGTCAATGTTTTGGATAAGACTGAGAACCAGCTGGAGTACCCCATTTCGCAGTATGATAACATCAGGAAGGGTGGAGCTGGAAACCCCTGAAATTGGATATCTGAATGGATAGAGACTTTAGAAGGTTTTGTTGATGGAGGCATTTGTTCTGAGTCATGAGCACGGATTTTTGAGATGTTGCTGTGTTGCTGTGTTGCTATGTTGCTATGTAGCTTTCGAATACCATGTCATTCTGTTTCCCCCCCCCTTCTTCTTCCAATGTTTGTTTCTAATTCATGCAGTACTTGCCATTCTTGGTATTTTTGACAAAACAACACATCCGTCCTGTTTACTCTTCTGTCACTTGAACCTCACATACATTGCCGATCCCTTTTGCCAAATACTACAAGAAGAAGACGAAGATATCTCTCACAGTTGCGACGCCCGATGATCGGGGGCCACTCGTGGCAGAACCGATCTCTTGATCCGCTCCTCAGTCACGAACATCTGATCAGGCACCCATGAGAGATCCACCTCTCCGGCCAATCGTCCATCGTGGGCCAACACCATCATGCCCACTGCTTTCCCACACAGCCAAGCCTGCACCATGCCTTCGCCCGAGAACGCACACGACAACCATTCGGCTCCAGGACCTCCCCCTCCCTGCACTACTTCCCCTCGGCCAGACGCAGAATGCGGGAGCTTGCCGATCCACGGATATCCATCTGCGCTGAAGCCCATGTTTCCCGTCCACGCCGTGTCAACATCCCGCTCAGCGCTCCATTCGCCCCAATGCTCCTGGTCGAACGCCTTCTGGAGTGTTGTCTTCAGATGGTTCAGCGTATACGGCGGGACTCCCTCGTTATCAGAAGCGACGCCCAGAGCCATAACCCCTCGATCTGCATGCTGTCCAAAGCCCCCTCCCAGCATCATCTTGTTGGCTGTCTCCCCACCAGAGGGCAACTGAGTCAGGTAGTCAAAGCCATGCTCATAGTTGAATAGCCAGGAGTGCTCGGTTCCCTGTGGTCGGAAGCTGCGTCCTGGGTTCTGCGCCGTCATTGTTCCTTGGATGGGGTAGATTCGGCCGCGCAGTCCCGGCACCAAGTGACCGACATGCGCGTTCGTGCAGTGGATGACATGACGTGCGCGGATCGTTCCTCTCGGCGTGACGACCGAGTATCGCAGTGCGGACGGGTCTGTGGATGTCGCGTTCTCGCGAAGAGCCGTTACAGGCGTCTTGGTCTCGATCCGGAGGTCCTTGGGATACTGCTCGCGCAGACGGGCCAGTAAGCCCGTCACGAACCGATACGGCCACATGGCGCCGGCGGGCCCGGCGATGGCACCTCGAGCGTTTGGGGCCAGACAGAACTCCTTTTTATTTCATTGTAAGTGTCTAGACCTCGTGGAAATACACACAGCCTTTAATGTTTCCTCGGATACAATAGAAGTCGGGAGGCAAACTGACCTTCGGGATCTCGGCTTTTTCGAAAATCTTCCATTCCACCGTCTCGGCAGGCATACACTCCTTGAGTCTCCGAATAGAACGCACCGTCTCCACCCACTTCTCGTCATCAAAATGAACGCTCAGGAACTGAACTTTCCGGGCCTGGGCAACCTCGCTCAGCCCGTATTCGTCTGCCACTCGAAGCAGCTCCGCCAGATGTGCGAGGCGGAATCTCATGGTTCGGATCGCAGTCTCCACTCCATACGTCTCTTCGAAATAGCTGAATTCCTCCGCGGTCTCAAGGATGTGGCCCCCATTCCGGCCCGTCGCGCCATGGCAGACCTCACGGCCATCGAGTATAACGACAGACGGCCTCTTTTCTTGGTTTCCTTCGCCAAATGCGTTCAACAATAGGGTCCTAGCGATGGAGGCGCCCGTAATCCCGGAGCCGATGATCACAACCTCCGCTTCTGTTGCGAGTTCGGCGGATTGCAAGCTTGCGAGCTCAGAGAATGGGGGGTCTTTGAGCCAGAAAGAGGGCATGCCGTGAGGTGCTGGAAGGCCTGGATCGGCGAATGCGCGGTTCAGGGCTTCTTGTCGGTCCTGAAGAGGGACTCTAGGGTCGGAGAATGCGGCCTGAACGAAAGCCATGACCGAGTTCTTTCTGTCTCAGGGGAACGAGGAATTTCTGAATAGCAATTATGATATATTATGGTTTGGCGATTGCAAGATGCTTGTGGACGATTTAGCTAAATGATACGAAGGAGTGAGCACTTTGACTGACGAGTATTCATGCAGTAGGTATGCCAGACCAGAGCAATCGGAGAGTCTGGCTAATCGGAGCGTTAGTATCAGGTACACTCATCTCAGTATTGAGTTCGGGTTCCTCGCGCGCCGAAGATTGACAATTGATAACAGAACTTGGAAGGTTTAAAGGACAGGACTCGGCAGAAGGGTCGACCTGCCGCATTAGGAAGTGACGATAAGCATCCATTTCCCCGCAGGTACCATTCGTGATGCGGGGCTCACCAACTTTACTTACATGAACCACACCACTCGCGTCCAGCTTCTATTCTGAGCCCCAAAGCGAAAAGCAGATAAATCATGGCATTGCCGCGGTACTCTTGTGCTCAATTCAACTGGATTGAATGGGGTACACCAGCAATTGAGTGATCAAGCTCTCCAAACAGACCCCCTCCGACGCAGCAGCAATATGCACTCAACCCAAAACCACTCCTCCTCCCCCGGCAATGCCTTCTACCCGGAGACCCCTCCCATGCGCCGCCCGGACCTGACATACCTCTACCGCCTCGAATGCGACATCGACAAAGACGAGATCAACCTTGGCCCCCCCCACGCGGCGGGCGTCATCCGGAGTATCGCGAACATCGTCGGTGGTACCTTCAAGGGGCCGGGGGGGCTTTCAGGAACCGTCCTACCTTTGGGGGGAGCGGACTGGTCCACCATGATTGAAGGGACGCATGTGAGTATCCACCACTCGGATTGTCTCAGGTTCGATGTCTGATCAAAAACTGCAGTCCATCACGCTCGATGCGCGCTACACGGCGAAGACCGATGACGGCCACTACCTGTATATTCAAGCCCATGGGCTTTATCGTCCCGGTCCGGGGACGGCGTATGCGAGACAGGTGGCGGAGGATCCGTTGTCACGCCCGCCGCCGACGGTCACTCAGGATGACGTGGAGTTCTTCTCGCACCTGAGGATCGAGGCAGGACCCGGGAAGTATAACTGGTTGAATGGGCTGGTTTGTGTTGGGGTGATGACCTGCGTAGAGGATCGGATTGTCATTGATGCGTACTATTTGACGAATTTTGGGGGCGTGACGCCGGACGATGTGGTGATGAAGCCTACCAATTGAGACATTTGGAATATGATTTCTTTCTTCATATCTCGGCCCGCATGCATAAGAACTGAGCAGAATGCTTGAACATGATTACATCTCAGTAGATAATATGCTATGTCCCAGTCAGCACACTAGACCCCACTGACAACCGAGGTATCCCAAATAGGCAAGTGGACGCACTATGACTTAGTAGATTGTGTTGATCCCCTCACCTCTGCTCACTGCACAGCACGATAAGCCCCTCTCCTCTCCTCTTCCTCGCGGCAGATCAAGTCGGAGATGAACTTGTCATTCGAGCCAAGTATATAAACGTCCCAATTGGCCCCTCTTACCCAGGTGAGCTCACACAATCTTCCCTACCTAACCCCATCATACTCCCGCGATCGTAAGTCCAACCAAACATGACAGTCACGAAACTCTCCGACCCCGAAGACTGGCGCGCCCTCGTCGCCCACAAGCGCAAGCAGCTCGACTCGCAAATCCCCTCCGCCTGGCGCCTGACCGACTCCTTCCGCGCCTCCCTGCCCGCCAACGGCCACCTTCTGGCCTTCGACGCCGTCGCCAAGAGCAACATCCTCACCTCCGCAGAACTCGACCTCACCGAGAACTACACCGCGGGCCAGTTACTCCAGCGCCTCGCCTGGGGCGACGTCAGCGCCGTCGCCGTGACCACCGCATTCTGTAAGCGCGCCGCCGTCGCGCAGCAATTGGTCTGTCTCGTATCCTCCCCACTTGCGCTTCCAGTCGAGTTCTCCCGCCGGACAGACACTCACACTCCCCCTCCCAAAAAAATATAGACATCCTGTTTGACAGAGCACTTCTTCGATCGAGCGCTCGAGCGAGCAAGGTATCTGGATGACTATCTGACGCGGGAGGGGAGGGTCGTCGGTCCGTTGCATGGGTTGCCGGTAAGTCTCAAGGATAGTTTCCGCGTGGAGGGGGTCGATACCAGTGTCGGGTATGTGTCGTTTCTGGGACATGGCCCGGCGCAGGAGAACTCCGCGTTAGTTCAGATGTTGTGGGATCTGGGGGCGGTGTTGTACGTCAAGACGAATGTGCCGCAGACTATGATGGTGAGGGATACCCTCAACTTTGGTGGTTGATTTCACTCTGGGAGAGTGGGTGCTTCCTCTCTTCGGGTCTGCATGCTAACGACAATCCCAGACAGGCGACTCAGACAACAACATCTACGGCCGCACCCTGAACCCCCACAACACGAACCTCACCGCCGGCGGCTCGACGGGAGGCGAAGGCGCCCTCGTCGCCCTCCGGGGCTCCATCCTCGGCGTGGGCACCGACATCGCCGGCTCGATCCGCATCCCAGCCCTCTGCTGCGGCGTCTACGGCTTCAAGCCCTCCACCGCCCGCATCCCGTTCGCGGGCCAGGCCAGCGGCGCCATGGAGGGCTTGCCGGGCATCATCCCCTCCGCCGGCCCACTGGCTCAATCCTTCGAGGATCTGGAGCTGTTTATGTCGACAATCCTGGACGCATCCCCTTGGCGATACGACAGTTCCGCCATCGCAGCGCCTTGGTGCAGGCCAGCGGCCATAAACCAGCAGCAGCAGCAGCAGCTACTAACAATCGGCATCCTCGGCGAATGCGCACACTTCCCGCTCCATCCCCCCGTGAAACGCGCCTTAGAGAATGCAGTAGACGCCCTGAAAAAGAAAGGCCATCGCATCGTCTACTTGAACCCTAACAACGACGACAACAGCACCACCGCATCCTCACCCTCACCCTCATCCTCCACAACCCTCGCTCTCGCAACCAACCTCGCCCACGCCAACCGCCTCAGCTTCCAATACTTCATCTACGGCCCCAGCGAAGATCACATCACCCCCAGCGGCGAACCACCCGTCGCCTCCGTCGCGAAAGCCAGTTCCCCGATGTTCACAGGCCCCTTTCCCGTCCCGATGGACGAGACCGTCTCCCCATTCACATTAATCGATACCCTCCACAAGGAACGCCAGAAGTACAGCGACGCGTGGCGCGCGACGTTCGTCACCAACAAATTAGACGTCGTCCTCGCCCCGGGGGCCCAGAACCCCGCCGTCGAGTGGGATACCTTCGGGTGGCCGCCGTACACCCTTGTGTGGAATCTGGTGGACGTATGTTGTGTTTCATTCTTGCGCTGTGGTCATTGATGATAGGGATGTATGCTAACAATAGCTTCTGCTATCGACAGTATCCAGCCTGCATCATCCCCTACGGCAAGGCCTCCAAGGTCCTCGATCCGGAACCGATGATTCTGACGGATGGCGTGCAGCCGAGTTGTATGTCGAGACCCTCTATCTTCCCCTGCAGCTGGCTGTAATCTTCGCGTGTGACTGGATATATGCATGGTTGAAATCGCTATGAATCACTGGATATTCTGTTTGACTAATGCTGGAAAAAATGCAGACCATCCCGACGCCGTCGACGGTGCGCCCTGCGCGATCCAGGTGGTTGCGCCGCGGTTTCACGACGAGAAGTGCTTGGCGGCTGCGAGGGTCATTGATCGGGATATTCGGTTGTAGGATTGGACCTTGGTTATTGGATGGAGTTGGTTGGTAAGGCGATCGATAGACGGTGATTTGGTGGGTCAACGAAGAAGTTGGAGAAGTTATATCGGTAAGTTACCTTGTGTGCCGTTGACAGTGTCGAATGCATCATCCCTCTGGTTGAATAGAAGTAGCGATGCAATTAGCATGAGCAGTCGCAGCAGCTACAAGTACAGTAATAATAAGCTATGCAGGGAGCATTCACCACGGAAAGAGAATCAATCCTCATGCAGAGGACATTATATCATATTGATTGCTATGAACAAACCGAGGCTCGAATCTAATGTAATGTCCCGACTATAAATTACGATGAGATCCGTGGCAGAACAGCGGATAAAATCGTACTCAAAGATCGTCGAGGGCATTTCCGAAGAAATACCTTTTCTCTCGTCTCATACCGATCTGCACTCTTTCTGATGATAAAAGTACAGCGGCATCCAGCTCAAGATTATCCGAGAGGGGAAAACGGAAAACCGAGCGAGGCAAGAGACATGCAACAGAAAGTTTCTACCGGTCTACAACCCACCAAACCCGAAAATTCGAATGGCGGAAACTGTACAAGTGATGATGATGGACATTGCGATCAATTATGGGTATCTAGGAACCCGCATACACGAGATTATCCCGATTAGACGCCAAGAATCTCCATCGTTTCAAAATCAGTAAGCCACCCTGGTGCGCATGTCCTGCATTCTTGGTTAGCTATCGTCACGACGAACTCAATACCACGGGAAAGTGACTCACCGAAATCTTGCGCTCGATCTCGCGCACGGAGCGATCAAGCTCACCGGCAATCATCATCTTCGTGTCATTAGGCAATAAGAAATACATCTCACACAGATCTCCGTCAATGACACCCTTGACGGGTGCATAGTAGCTGCGGTAGATCAGGTGGTCCCGACCAGCGAGAGGAGGGTGCTGTGCAGCCAACTGCATCTCCAGGTTTTGGAAGAAGTCGACATCCTCCCGACTGATGAAGGGAACCAGCATTCCAATGGTGCCTTGGAAACCAGTCCAGACGAGAATGTCGCGTCCTCCCGCCACCAGCTGCGTCTTATGCAAGCTGGTCGGAATGTCCTGGGTGTAGACATGTATCATCAACTCCAGGCGGTTAGGGGTTCCGTGCAGATAACCACGTTCGTGAATCAGATGGGCACCCGACCCATCCTCATCCGCTTCCTCGGAAGTCTTCTTGGGACAGCGCAGCAGCCAAAGATTGCCAAATTTGTCACCACCAGCAGTTGT